CCTTATAACCCGAAGCGCCTTTATATATCGATTAATTCTGGTTACTGGCCACGAAGCGATTTTGCGTGGAAGAAAGAGCGCTGCATTAATCTGCAGTCAGGAGCGTCGCGGGGTAATATATACTGTGCACCTAACATAGTATTACAGTATATGTGTGTATAAAAGGCTGAAATGACACCTGTCAAGAGACGCGCTTACAACGCGGACTTCAAACGCAAGGTTATCAGTCACACAGTGGAACATGGGAATAGTGCATCTGTGGGAGAATTAAACATTACTGAATCAACTGTACGGAAGTGGAGGAGGCAAGAAGATGGCCTGCGCCAAGTAAAGAAGACCAGACAGAGTTGCTGAGGGGACAAGGCGAGATGGCCACAGTGGGTGGGAAAAGTTAAGTTGGTCGCCCACGTTAGATACTCCTAGTCCTCTGGTTACTTTTACTTTTAGTTCAATTTAGTTCAGTTTTTAGTTTGTTAGTTTACTTTTAGTTTAGTTTGGTTTCTAGTTTAGTTAGATGCCCCTAGCGTTAGATACATATACTTAAATAACGACTACATACTAGACTAAACTAAAAAAACCAAAACTTAAACTAATGAACTAAGTAATAGACTGAAAACTAAACCAAATAATACCCCCGATCTCGTAAGACAGAAATGTGGAGCTAGAAGTGTCTATGGTGGGCGACCAAATTAACTTTTAGACAGTGAATGATTAAAAAGAGAGAGCAGCAGGTAGAAGCGAATGAAGGCAAGAACCGTTATGATCTTGAATGTTTACCCGCGTCGCCACTGTTATAACCTTGTGTGTTCCTGTGTCAACACCGGTTATATCCCCCATTTACGTGTTAGGAAAAGAGGGCAGAACAGGATGACAGATAGTACATCAGCTCTGTTTGCACGGGCCATTAATATTAATGATTTTCGAGGCAATCCCTCTTGGTGATTTTGTTTCATGATAAGACGTCATCTCCCAATCCGCACACGAGCTACCCTCTTGCCAAAAGGAAGAAAATCGGGCGAAAACAAGATTTTACTGGAAAGAAGATAAGTTTGACTGATTGACCGGCTGTTTTGTTTCCCTTAATGCGCCCTATATTGCGGAAAATACGGTAATAGAAATCCAGGTTTCCTGACCATTCACCCAATCAGGAAAGAGGGTTGGCATTTTTGCCACGCAATCCTCTCCTGAGCTGATCCAGCGTGTCTACTTGTTAGGCCTACCCACGACAGCAGCCCGCAGACTATCATAGTTGTGGACTACGTTCGACCCCAGAACATGTGATCTCGTTCACTGAGAACGAGTTTGGCGCACCAAGCAACGGTAGCATCACACGGTACAAATATAAATCCGAAGTCTCCTGGAAAG